GACGATTTTCGATCAGACGATTTTCGATCAGGCGGTTTTTCGATCAGGCGATTTTTCGATCAGACGATTATCGATCAGGCGATTTTTCGACCAGGCGATTTTCGATCAGGAGATTTTCGATCGGCGACTGCCAACCTTCAAACTCACCATCAAATTTAACTGTGCCACCTTATATTCCCGACTGAGTGGTGTGATCTTGCGGTGCATAAAATAGGCGGTGAGGGTAAAAGTGGATACACCAAGAACCCAGAAAATATAATAGAACCAGACTATCCACACTTGAGCCTCGTGGGACGGGGAAAACATTTGAATTCCTAAGCCTTGCTATCAATTCCCGAGTGGGAGTCCATCCAGACGCCCCCATCTTTCCAGGCTCGGATTGCGCAGGTGGTTTCCGGATTGTTTAGCCGGCTTCTTCCGTAGTTTCCCCCGAGGGGGCTTGCGCAAGCCATCTTCTGAAAGCTGGTGCAGCTGGTTCGTGGTTCAAATTGCGATGCGTCTGGAATGGACGAACTCGGTTAGGACCTGCGCGTTGCGTTCAAAGCGGCGCATAGCATATTCAAGTTGTTCTAAATTTCACCTTTTTCGATTACATCAGGAAACACTTACCAACAAAAATCGTAAAATCTCGTGTGTTCTAATGCACGCCTCTGGAAAGTAATTTTTTAATCCCATGCGGGAGACACCAGACCGTTCGATGCACTAAAGAGAGGAATATTTGCATGCGAATCGATAAATGCGCGGGGAAAACCTCGCGTTAGGGCATCGACTGCTACCCGCGCACCGATAAGTACGATTTCTACGATCTAGGTACCGTATTACCTCTAATATAACCCCCTCCCCTCTATTATACCCCCCCCCCCCTCTAATACAACCCACTCTCCCTGGGTGGTTGAAAAAAAGAGCTCCCGCCCCTAATATACCCCCTGAAAAATTTTTTTGCAATTGTGCACTCAGGGGCCATTTTGAGTGATTTTAAGCTTTCTATAGCGAAAAAAAATAGTGTTTTTGGTCAAAAACCGACCATTTCACCCCCCCCTTCGAGATTTCAGTTCCTAAGTCATAAGACCTTTTTCCAGATTTTGGAAACAGGTTCAGAATCAGCGCCAAATTCTGCAAAAGGTTGGTCCCATACGGAAACCCGATTGTCACTAAAAGATCTCCTTGTGAGTCTGAGTTTCATTAAGGTTCAGTATTCGGCTCGTTCATGGCAGAAAACATCAGCAAGGGGGGCTGCCCTGACCGGGCAGCTATTTTATCCTTTTATTGAACGACTCGATGCTCATCATTCGATTCGCCGGTCTTGTTAACCATACGGAGAGGTTCCGGCTATTTATTAATAACGCGAAGCGCTGCTTGCCATTTTACGGGCGTGACCGTTACCGGCGTGTGGTCGGCCCACGGATTCAACCTCTAAATCAAGCTTGTAAGAGCGTGAAAATAATTCTAGGTAAGATTGCTCAACGCACATACCACATACACCCTGCATACCCATAGCCATATAGCATTCCTATATGGCCGCGTGGCTATCAATATTACCAAATTATTTGCGACGGCGTGCAGCCCGGTCGAAAGAAAAGACAGGCCCGCAGCTACACACAGTTGGTTAGTCGGTGGTAGTAGGGTACTACACCCACAGCAAATCAGCAACTCGCCGGTTATATAACCCAGATAAACGGTAAGGGCGAGGATGACTGGCCCTGCCAGAACCGATAATGCGATCGCTGACTGAAAAACGGCCTGAAGCTTACAAGGAATCGTTTTTGAGTGCCGTACGGACTATCGAATCGGACCAATCTTGAGCAGAATTCCGCGCTGATTCCGAATCTGTTTACTATTTTCGCGGCATAGACATTTCGCGAAAGTTATGAACGTTTTACAACCGCACAGACTTACCTAAAACGACCCCAAATCGATGCTTTCGATGGATTCGAGGCTTCGGAATAGGTTTTACGCAAGAAAGCTAGTACATTTTGTTTAGAAAAGAAACTCTATAAAATAAACCATTCTAATCAAAATTACTGGAATCTGACAAATTTTATACATTTGATGCCCATAAACGTTTCCAAAATTTTGAAAATTTCAAAACTTTGAGTGAAGTAGCTTCTTTGGTAGAGCATTTTTTTCTGAACAAATGCACCAGCTGGTTTTTTACTAAAACCTTTTTCTAAGTCCATCGAAAGTAGCTAAACGGGGGCGTTTTAGATTTAAATAGTTTATGACCTTTGAGAAATGGCTATTCCGCAAAAACAGTAACCATGTCGCGAATCAGCGCAAAATTCTGCACAAAATAGGCCTAGTCCCATCCCAAAGTCCGGACGACTCCCAAAAACCTCTCCTTATCAGCACCAACCTGAAATAGAAAGATCATACAGAAGTGCCGCTGCATTAGCCGGGTTCTTTTGCTAACCGCTGGGTCCCTACGGACCAAGAGATAGTCCTCAATATTTGCGTAGCATACGTAGAGGTAGGCAAAAAATGTGAATATGACAACGACCAGCACGATTCGAAGCAGGGGCCGAAATTCGGTTCCTTGCGGCAGAAAGTAGGCCCCTTCCACACCGCAGACGTGAAAATCGAGCATGCAAATCTGAACGTATGCCATTGGGCTCTGCCCTCCAAACGATTTGGTATCAGAAACCAGCAATTTCATAATCTCGAAATTTCATAATCTCGCAATTTGAGATTCTCGCAATTTCAGAATCCCGCAAATGCAGTTAGGCCATAGCAAATGCGAAATTATAAGAATACGAGATTATGAAAATGCGAGATTCCAAAATTGCGAGATTATGAAATGGCAAGATTATGAAAGATTCCCCCCTCCAAACATAGGCGGCAAAATGACGAATCAAACGAAACCGCGATGGCGGCAGCTTCAACGCGCCGATACATATCAAAAGGATTTTGACAATAGCTCACCTGAACGCCATCATCAACCATAAGCCGAAACGTATACGCCAACCAAATACTGCCCCAGCCGCCAATCATCACAATAATATAGCACGAGATCAGGTAGCGCTTGGCTACGGCATGCAACATCCGGTGCTTCTGCGACGCGTGCGCCGTTTTCAGCACCCCGTTGTATACCACGGAGGCAAGGGAGTGCACCAAGAAGGTCCACCAAAGGCTCTAAAATACAGGCTGATGATAGTGATGAGCAGGGTTGGTCACAATGATCGGGGGTCCGCGTCCGTCCGCGTCCGGACGGGTCCGCTATGCAAATTGCGGACGGGTCCGGACCGGACGGACGCGTCCGGACGCGGACCCAACGGACGCTAAAGAGTCCGCCGGACGCCGGAAGGTCCGCGATGCAAAGCACAGAAGCGGATGCTAATTCAGGAGTCCCTGGTTTAGGAAGGCGTAGGAATCCTACTATATATAAAAAAAAATAGTGTTTGTGTGTGTGTGCATTTGCATGCAACTTGCGTCCGTATGTTCCAGTCGTATCTCAATAAAGGAAGAAACTAAGGGCACGTATGAAACGTCATTAGGTGCGTAACACACGACTGCACGCATATGAGATTTTTGAAAATCAGTAGTTTTCGATATTAAAGTTAAGTTTTTGTGAAAATCTCGCTCGGACTCTTTGTTAGGAATCAATTAGCATGCACCGGAAGTGGGGGAACCCTATATAATGGGGGAGAGGACGCGCTTTTCATTTTTCTGCACAGGAATTCAAGTGTTTATGCAAAGTTACGAAGTATGGGGGTCAGACGGTGGCCAGGGTTGAAAAGTCGCGAAGCGGCTTTTCAACCCTGATATAACCTAATTTGCATCCTTGATGTTGACTTAGAATAAATCACAAAAATCACTGCCACTGTCCAAGGGAAAGCGCCAAAAAAGTTTGAGCAAACGAAAAGCTTTAGATTTTAGTTCAATTTTCCATTGTTCTTGAGGTTTAGTACTAGTTTCTTCGTTTCCGACTTACTTTTGTGTGACTATTTGGACAACTGACAATTATTTTTTGTCATAATCCAAGTCAACACGAAATATTCAAATTAGGTCTGTGGTGATGCGCCTTCCTAAGCCGCAGACTATTGAATTAACATGGTTATCTGCAATTTGCATCGCGGACCTTCCGGCGTCCGGCGGACTCCTAAGCGTCCGTTGGGTCCGCGTCCGGACGCGTCCTGTCCGCAATTTGTATCCCGGGTCCGGACCCGTCCGGACGCGGACGGACTTTCGATCATCATGACCAACCCTGGTGATGAGTAGTGTCGGACAGCACCCCAAGAAATGCACCGCGGCTGCCTTTGAAACGCACCCCGGGTGCGTTTCAAAGACCCCCTGGGGTGCGTTTCGAAGGCACCCGGGGTGCGTTTCTTGGGGTGCTGTCCGACACTAGTGATGAGGAAGCTGACCCTACCAAGAGCACATGCAGCTGAAGGTAGCTGAGACGAAATCCGCTCAAAGGTTTCAGGGCAAAATACGGCGCATAGAGGATCGGCTTCACCGTGCAGATGGTCGTCTCGGTAAGTTCGGAGGCGATCTGCGAATCATCGAGAAAAGCTTATTTTTTCCCAGATTTCTGGCTAGTTAGGCTTTCAAGTCTTCAGGTAGCATCATCAAAAACATCAAAACCCTACCACCACATTCAACTGCACATATTTATACTCCTTCGTCAGGTGCGCCTTTCCGCGATGAAGGAAATACAGAGTGAGCACGAAAAATGGAAAGCCAAAAGCCCAAGAAAAATAAAAGGCGCCGGCGATCCATAATTCTTCTTCATGGGACGGGTAGAACATCAGGACGGTGAGTTCTGAGAACGACAACTCGTCAACTTCTCTGAACTAGCCAACCGCCCGGCTACGAGGCGGCAGGTGGTTTTTGGGAAGCAATTACAAAAATACACTGAAAGGATCGTAATTATGGGGCCATGGAGGTCTCTAGACCGCCGTCTTTAGGAAATATGTTTCTTTTTAGTTTTTTTGCATTTCCAGTGCAAGACAAATTTTTTGTATTGAATGGTGATGGGTTGACCATCATAGATCTGCGTTTTATTCAACGGCCGGACGTTCATCACTAGCCGGACCAGTTTTTTGAAACATGTGAAGCGGTCCGGGCCATTTGTGCATGACACGAAGCGCCGCTTGCCATTTCACCGGTTTCACAGTCACTGGCGTGTGATCGGCCCAGGGGCGTAGCCTCTAAATAAAGGAAATTCGACTCCGAAAAATCATATCAAATCGCATCCTATACGGACTTACCAAATACGTTCTGTGCACGAATTGATAGATCGCCATTCGATAGGGCTTCGTGGCGATCAGGATCACAAGATTATTTGCGAACGCGTGGAGCCCGGTACAAAGAAAAACCACGCCGACAGCTGAAGCACAAGGATTGGAGTCCTGTTTATTCTCACTTACTACAGATTATGAACTCGTTGTTTGTGAATCCCAGTAAAACTGAGAGTATCAGGAAAATTGGCGCGGCCAGGAATGATAGCGCCATCGTTGACTGAAATTCGGGTCTAACGGGCTATTTTCAAAAAGTAAAAATTCAAATTTGGACCTAGATCATGTTGAAATTTCACAATCTCGAAATTTTGGATAAGCTAAGTTATCGGAAACTACGATGCAAAAATTTGGAAATGATGAAACGTGCAAAAGCGCCAACCTGCAACAGAAAAATCAAGCAAAAGTGTCGATGCATTTGCCGAGTCCGCTTGCTGATCGTCGGGTCCGTATGCACCGTAAAATAGTCTCTAATATTCAAATAGCACACGTAGAAATATGCAATGGTGGTGAACAGGCAAACGACGCCGCCGACCCATGCGAGCGGCATTAGTTCAGTCACATGTTGAACAAAAAATACACGCTCGATGCCGCAAAAGTGGTACTCTAGCAGGCAAATCTGAAAGTTCAGGTAGACCTCACAGTAAAGGGTTTTGACTCAGGCTGGAATTTTGAAATTAACACAAACCTCTCATATGCAGAATTTGACGCTGATCCCGAATCTGTTTTCAAAAGTTTCTCAATGACCGTTTTTGAAAAGTTACAACCTATTTTAGTGTTCCACGATGTAGGGGGACCCTTACTTGAATGTCCAGTAAAAATCGCCAGAAAAAGTTCCCGGAAGCGTTAGATAGCAGGTTTTTCTTGGAAAAACGTAGGCTTTCAGATGTCTTGTAATTTTTACGCATAGTAAAAAGTCAAAACGGATGCAGATGACGTCAGCTCTGCGTCAGCCCCGTCCTCGAACCAATTTTTTCATGGTTGTTATTTCCCAATTTTTAAGATATGCGATCTGAAAGCCTGCGTTTTTCTAATGAAAACCTGCTAAAAAGAAAGCTATCTAAAAGTTCCAGAATATTTTTCTGGCGTTTTTTGCGGGACATTGAAGTTAGGGTCTTTTTATATGGTAGAACAAAAACAGATTCGCAATTCGCCTAAAATTCTGCACAAGAGAAAATTGATCTCATTTCAAGGGTCCGTCTGGGTCAAAACACTTTACTGTCAAAAACGCTTGAGCGTGGACAATCGAAAAAGCTTACTTCCCCGTTATCCTCGACCAGAAATCGCTGTGAGTAAGCTACCCAAACATCGCAATGCCCGCCAATCATCGCACCGAAATACATAGTGAGTAGATACCGTCGCGCGCCGGCGTGAAAATTCTTGTGATGTTGCGAGGCCTGTGCCGTCTTGAGCACACCGTTATACACCACGGCCGAAACGGTATGCACCACGAAAGTGCCATAGATGCCCTAAACAAGCTGTTCGTGATTACGGCTACTGACCCACCGCCATCACATGAAACTGAAAATAGGTGAGGCGGAAGCCGGTTAATAATTTTCCGCCGAGATACTGCGCGTAGATGATCGGCTTCAACGTGCAGACCGTTGTTTCGGTCAATTCGGCAGCGATCTAACGACAAAAAATTGTAGCAAAAAAAATAAAAATGCCAAAAAAAAGCAAAAAATGTTGATTCTAAAACCCACCACCAAATTCAATTGCACGTATTTGTACTCCTTCGTTAGGTGCGCCTTGCCGCTGTTGAGAAAATATATAGTAAGTATGAAAAAGGGCGCGCCAAGCGTCCAGAAGAAGTGGTAGGCGCCCACGATCCATAATTCTTCTTCTGGGGAGGGGTAAAACATTGAGTGGCTAACGTGAGGTCTAAAATGCCGCCTCACTCCCCGCCAAAATTGTCTCCAGTTGAGTGACGGCAGGTGTTTTGGTAGTTTCAGTGCTATAAGTGCGATAAATTTACGCGGAATACGGAAAACCGCGTGTCTGTTGATTGGATACGACCTGTCGAAATTTCGGGAGCTTTTCGTTTAGCGGGCGGCGGGGGCAACCCCATTTACCGAGTCACCGGCACGGCCCTGTAGCAAAATATCGCCATTTTCTTAGCAGTTGAGATCGTTTCCAGGTTTATGAAAATTGAACAAAATTTCTAAAATGTTCGAAAAATATGCTTTTTACGGAGAGAATCTATGAAGATTGCCAAAAAGTATGCTTCTCCAGAGTTTAGGATATTTTTTCTGCGATTTTGTATTAATGCAAACCTTTTTCCCATTATTTTTTTCCGAGTAAAGGGGTTAGCTGGATGGAAAGGCGAACCAGGGTCGGAAAAAGCTCATAAAAAAGTGAAGAATAGCTTCTGGAGCTTGCAAAATTCATAAGTTTCTGCCGCTTCAAGTTATATCCATATTTATCTTATATCTATATTTATCTTTATAGTACATATCACCTAAAATACATCATCACTTTATTAATCGACTCGGATCTGAGTGCTTATCCTGAAGGTAGTGACGGCTTGCGTGACGGTGCGTCGGCTCAGCTCGCTGTGCATTTTGTGGTTTTTGCTGAAAAAAGAAGCAAATTGACCGTATTTGGAACATAAAAACTAACTAGAATATCTTCAGAAATGAGTCGCGGAAGTCTTGTCGGTATCTCAGGTTGATGCCCATATTTATGATTGTCATAAAACCGGGCATTCCGGTGACAATCGCCACCAGCACATCACTGACTTCCCAGAAGTTCCACCTGCAAAAAGCCATGTAGCCAAGTCGATTTTTTGGGAATGTTTTTTTGAAAATTAATTAAAGTCTGTTCGGAGGACAATCGGTGCTCGTTAGCGGGGTTGGGGAATTTTTATTGGGGGGAATTCTTTAATTCAGGGGGAGTTAATCAAATATAAATTATGTTATAGCAGTTTTTCAGCGTCCGATTATCAAGAAAACCAGAAAAATAAAGGGAAAAACCAATTCAAAGATTCTGCGATTTTTGAATTGATTTTCATCTCGCCAAAGCAAGATTTTGGGCTTTAACGATTGTTTATAACTTTCTATAGCTAATAAATGCAAGAAATGCTACAAAGGTCGTTTAGGCATGATTTCTAGGCAAAAAATGGGGCAAATTTAGTCATTCGTGCTCCCCCCCCCCGCTAACGAACCAATACCCTAGTATCAGCTTGCCTGATGCCAACCAGTACTACAGATGGCGCGGCCACGAAACCGACGGATATCCCACACACCAGCAACATTATCAAAAACCTCTGATCCCGCGAGCTGCGACTCTTCTGGCCCTGAACCTTCTTCGCAAAAGTTTGGCCACGCGCGCCCTGTGACTTACGGCTGAAATGCAATAAATCATCGTCAGCGAGCCGAATGAGATTATGTAGCCGCAGATGAGGAATGTGTAATGCCAGGTAGAGTAGACTAAATTTGGGATGGCGATATTTAAGCCGTTAAATTGGAGAGACAGATACTGTTCCGACCGTAAAACCAAAACTCAAGCCTAAGCCGAAGCACAAGCCTAAACTTAAGCCCAAGCCCAAGCCTAAGCCTAAACCCAAGCCAAAGCCTAAGCCAAAGCCTAAGCTTAAACTTAAGCCAAAACCTAAGCCTAAACCTAAGCCAAAGCCTAAGCCATTAGACCGACCTTTACTCGTCGAGTTTATAACAGAGCAATGACGGGTCGTATTAATAGTATCATCACCCCGAGCCGATAAGGCCGCGAAAAGCAGGGAAGTCTAAAAATGGATTTCGTACTTATGACACGTTCAGTTTACCAGTCCCGCCAAAACCACAAAAAGTACGAAGGACAACTTTGTCTTCCCGGAAAACAGCTTTTTGTACAGCACTGGATTTTTTGCTGCGCAAATTCTCTCCACTGACATGAGAATCACCATGTAACACGGCCATTCCATACCAATATTTAGGAATTGATTCCAGTAAGTCTAAAAGTTACGGTAAATCGAAATCGTTCCACGCTTACCGTATAAAAACAGTCATTTACAGTAATATTTGTATACAAATTTCCGTTCAACAGCAAGTTGCCGCGACCGATACCCGTCAGAAGCAAACTGAAACGATCAAGGGTTTTTTTCCGAGGCTCGAAACCTTACCTTAAACTATCAAAAACCTCAAAGGATTCGTAGAAAATTAGGTACGTATATTTTGATCTAATCTGACGACGGCTGTATGCAAATATATTCAGAAAATTCAGTGGTAGTGATATTGTTCCTGGAATTGAGCGTTTTAAAGGGATAGGCAAGGCAGAACTATGGTTTTGCAGGTGAAGGTTGCGATCGTGATTTTGCCACGCGGGACGCGGTCCGGATTTTGATTGCTGAATGGATTATGCTTTTTTGTAAGAATTCGCGGATTGAGGGATGCCTGTCGCGGTTTGAAAAAAACATAGCCGCCTAAAAAAACGCTTAAGCGCAAGAAAAGTAGCTTTTTAGAAGTTTCTTTTCATTGCAAAGAGGCTACAGAAGAAAAAGCAGAGAAAATCCGAGATTTTCTTCCAAGCGGTTAGGCATTTTTCAGAATTTTTTTTCAAACTCTTCTCAAGCTCAAATTCCAGCAACCCACCCAATGATACATAAAATGTACACATAAACATCGAAGCCCCATAGTCGACTTCAAAACCCATGTCGTGCATAAATGAGTCGCGAGTCCAGGGTCCACTGCAGCCGCAAAATGTTCGTCGTAAACCGACACCGATTATGGCCAACCTGAGTAATTTTGCTCGAATTTACGATCGCCAATCTGTGGTTCACATTATCTCCCCCTGTGGTCTCTCTGTGTATGCTTTTTGATCCGCCTCCTGAACCAATTTATTATCAAGGAGAGCAATTGGGAACACGAGTCGCGATTTATGAAGGGTTTTTTGTGAGGGATAATTGTTATGCGGAAGTATGACAAGACGGGCCGGCGGGTGCATCCATAGAATATGTATTTCTCGAGGGAATTCCGGGTAAAAAAAAGGATTTTGGAAAAAGTGGGGGGCAATTAAGGGGATCCTGGATACCGTATAGTTTTGAAGCGCTGGGGCGTTTTTTGCGGAATCAGTTAAGGTATTCTTTCGGCTTGCAAGTGATATCCTTTATTGGATCTCCGTTTGGCCGCACCTACAACACGCGATCGCGATTTTTTCCTTTCCTTAATGGATTTCAAAATTTCAACCCGACTAAGGTACGCGTTGCGTACCGCGGCTGCGTAAAATTCCCAAAAATCAAAAACTAGCAAAATGGATTCTGGTTCGTTAGCGGGGGATAAATTCGGTAATTAAGGAAACCTATAGGTACTAAAATTTTTCTGAAGTTTTCATCATTTTTTATGAACCTTCATAGCTAAAAAATGCGAAAAATTCCATTAAAACCGTTCATATTTGTTATTCGGCGACTACGGGATCATAGAGAAA